GTAAATGTGCAGTCATATTCATTGTGTTCCCACTAGTGCTGTCAGCGTTAGTGATGTGTCGGTCGCGAATGAAATGGCTCTTAGAGCCGGATCCTTATCGCGAGCCGTGGGTGGGTTTTTTTCTCTTCTTTCTCTCGCACGTTTTTTCTCTTCACTCCGCATGCGAGCCTTGTGCTTTGCACAACTATTTTCAGTTGTGGATGATAAAGGATTCAGAAAGTTTATTCATGCAGACCCATATGACAGGGAATGTGCATCTTCTTTTTGTGTTCAGATTTTAATTTATATTTAATTGCGTTGTGGTTTGCAGTGTTTTGTGTTGTTTCACTTTAAATTTGTTTAAAAGGAAAAAGCTGAAAATTTAAATAGTTAAAAGTTGAACTGTAAATAGTTGGATTTTTTTATTATATGATTTATTTATTACATTTTATGTGAAATGAATAAATAAAAGTATATTTACGGTGGCCCCTAGAGACAAAGCATGTACAAACTCCAAAACACGTAAAAACTCTGAAGCACGTAAAAACTCAGAAGCACGTAAAAACTCCAAAGTACGTAAAAACTCCAAAGTACGTAAAAACTCTGAAGCACGTAAAAACTCCATAGCATGTACAAACTCCAAAACACGTAAAAACTCAGAAGCACGTACAAACTCCAAAACACGTAAAAACTCAGAAGCACGTAAAAACTCCATAGCATGTACAAACTCCAAAACACGTAAAAACTCCAAAACACATAAGGACTCAGAAGCACGTAAAAACTCCATTCTGGGACTTGAGAAGAAATTTGAAACACAACTGGAAGATGTCAAAGAACAAAACAGACAGTGCAGCTATGGTCGCCAGTTTGGCTAAGGCTGTAGAGTGTAACACTGCATAGATGGTCGATTGTAAAATGAAAGTTGCTAAATTGGAAAATGCGAATGAACAGCTGCTTAAAGAAAATGATGATTTGATTTTTTTTTTTTAAATTTAGAAAGGAGTAGGCAAAAAATAAATTTTATATCTTCCTTCTTAATTGATGGCATTGAATGTGACGACCCTAAAATTTTGCAAGATGAAGTTTATACTTTCTATTCCAATCTATATTCCTCACAATTCTGCCAAGCAGACTGTGATGTCTGTTTTGATCAAATAAATAATTTAATCCCTCAAATTGATGAATCATTTAAGGAATTTTGTGAATCTGATTTTAGAATTGAAGAGTTAGATGCATCTGTTAAGAAAATGGCGTTTAATAAATCCCCTGGTCCAGATGGGCTTAAAGTTAATTTCTTCAATTTTTCAGGGAAGATTTAAGGGAAATTTTATTTAAAGCTATATTGGTTTTAAATAAAGCCAATATAGCTTTATTAAAAACAACCCAATACATTTAATCTTATGTAAGCAGTATATACATGAATGTCAATTTTTTTTAAGACCAAACCAACCTTAGTTCACTGGAAGAACGACTTAAACCTGTTTATTAAATCCTTGACTTTGATTAAAAAGAAAAAGGCTACATATTTTGCTTCCTTTTTGGAAGATTTTGATTTATTGAATTAATACTTTGATAATTTCCTGTATTTCACATGGGTTAAAAAAGATATATTAAATATCTTTTTTTATGCTTTTTAAAGAACATATTTTAACATTGGACTCGACAACAAATAAATCCTCGCTAACAAAAAAGGCACTTCAAGCACCAAATTGCTTTATATTTCTTCACTTAAATATACAGGCAGCAAGTAGGGGTGACATGGGCCCCAGGTTTGAGGTATTATGCCTTAAACTGGACTAATCAACATAAGGATGGAAACCACTGTGGAACTTTTTCAGTAAGCTGAGTTTTGTACGTGTTTTGTAAGTTAATCAGTAAATTAACACCAATAGCTAGCAATTCACACAACAACTGGGTGTTGGGTAACTATGATGTTTTTATTTTAGAAAATAGTCCGTACACATGAATTAATGTACTTTAATATAAAAATGGAAGGTGATACAACCTCAAAAGTGTGGTTGCCTCTAGATTTAAAAAGAGAAATAAGGTCTAGTAGTTTCACTATATGAAGAATAAATGCAAAATTTAAAAAGAACTGTTATAGCTGGATATATCGACGACTTATTCAATTATATGAAATATTATGGCTTAGTCTAATCAAAGAAAGTTTACTGGGGCACTTTGTCTTTGGTAAAATAATGGGACAAGTTTATTCTTGCCATCAAAAATGCCATCAAAATCCTTCCAGTCCTGATGTCGAGCACTCTTTTTCACTACTGTGTTGTTGTTGACAGAGTCTAAGAACAGGATAGATAAAAGAAAGGCCAGTCCTGAAAGGAAGACCCCCGTAAAAAGGAGGAGGGTCACTGAGCAGGCTGCTCCTTCCACCAGCTCAGACACTCATGAGGTCAAAGGAGTGAAGTGTAAGGTCCAGCAAGATGCAGCGGGCACAACCAGTCCAGCAAAGAAGCCTAAACTTGCTAAGCCTGCGAGCGGTGACAAGGAGCAAGCGTCTTCCTCCTTGGACGCTGGTAAAGGTAGACTAATTAGTTGAGTGAGGGGTAGATTGAGGAGATGAAGGAGATATTTGTGTCTATGATCTAATATGCTGATGTGCTTTTGGTGTTTTCCACATCTGCAGACTGCAGTCAAAGCACAAATGGGTGCATGAAAGATGGCAGAAGGAAGCCTGCAGGAGACAGCAAAGAGCCACCCAAGAGAAAGAAAAGGGACAAAACCAAACACAGCGCCCAAAATTCAGCAGCTGACCAGAGACGTAAGTAGCAAGCAGCTTGGCTTTTATACTCAGGTGAAGAGCAAAATGAACATTTAGGCTACAGCAGAGAGTCATTTGTGTCACAGCTGTAGTAAAACAACATGTGTGTTTGTCTTTTCAGCTGAATTCCAGGCCAGATACGTGCAGGAGCACCATCTTGGAGGAGGCGGCTGTGGAGCAGTGTTTGCTGGCTACCGGAAAACAGATCATTGCCCAGTAAGTGTTCAGATGGTGGGAGTAAGACAGGCAGTAACGCAGATAACGGATAATATAGACGTGTGCTGTTTCACACCTTTAGTGATGTCATACGGAGGAAATGCTCACCAATGCTCTGTGTCTTTTAGGTAGCCATCAAACACATCCCAAAGGACAGAATCCCCATCAAAGTGACGGTAAGTGTGCAACACTTGAACTGTTTTTACATTCCTGGACTGAGTGCAGCGTTCACCTGTGGAACGTCTCTTCCTCATCATCCACTTTGTTGGAATATATCAGGGTGAAAACGGGAAGCGGGT